ATTGTGCTTTGACATACATTTGTAACACACAGAGTCCATAATGTGAAAAGTTCAAAGATGATCAGTAACTGGTCAATGTCAAAGCAATGCTACAGTAAGAAAAGAAAATAAGCCACTGGCAAACACAGCAGCACTAAGAAATGGCTTCAGGACAAAGTACGGACTTGCACTCTCACTTGAACCAATGTGGCATTGGGGTGTAACATCACAAGGCTAGATGTGCAGGCCAGCACTCAACATGATCCTCTCCTGATGCCCTCCACAGAAAGTTCAGAGCCCAGTGTAGGCTGCCTCTGATCATAAGCTACAGATCATGAATGTGGACCCTATAAAATAAAACCGGCTGATGCCTCTAATAAGCCAGCAGCTGCACCCTCAAATAAAGGAGGACTAAGAATGACAACAAAACTAAAAGCAGAAAAAAAAAAAGATAGGCACTCACAGCAGATTTATGTGTATGAATATTCCACAGCTGTGGGGGAAGATTAAATAGACAACTGTGATCTAGAGAAATTAAAAATAGAGCTCAGACAACAGCAGAATCGATATCCATCTACATATACAAAATCTGAGGGGCCGTGACAATTTGGCAAACATCTGACAAATCAGCCCAGCTTGTGTTCCCACATGCCTTTCTAATGTCTTGCATTGAATCAGGGCAGCATGTCATTGTTGATATATAGCTAAGCATTTGGAGTCTGCCCTCTCAATACCACAAGGCAGTTACCGGTACTGTGATTGAAATTCTGAACTGCTGAGTGACTATTTCATCTGGTAATTCCACCAAACCTGTAGATAGTAAGTGATGGTGGGATTCTTGACTGATCTATTTCCTGAGACGTTGCGACGCCTCAACAGGATGGTCTGATATGTGCCAACACTACAGGATCTGAGGGATGACTCCCGAGACAGTTACTGCTGTGATTCAAACTTCTGGTGTGCCAGGACCTCAATTCAAAATTATGAGCCCAAACAGTATACTGCATGTACAGACGGGTGACTAATGAAAGCAAAACCCTGAATAACTGAGTGGTCTCTTCCAGGATGATGGTGCCCCGGCAAAGGGGGGGGGGGGGTCACTGAATGGTTTGATGAAATGATGTGAATCATATGCTGTGGCCTTCAGTCACCAGGTGTCAACCCAGTTGAACACCTATGGGAGATGTTGGAGCGACATGTTAAGACAGCGTCTCCACCACCACCATCAAAAATCACAAGCAAGGGGGGAATCTCTCTGGGAAGAACAGTGTTCATCCCTGCAGTCGAGTTCAGAGACTTGGAGAGTCAGTGCCAAGGTGCACTGAAGCAGTTCTGGTGGCGGGTGGTGACCCAACACTTTACTGAGACACTTCATGTTGGCTTTTTGTGTCACCTGTCTGTATTTCCACAATAATGAATCACTACAATGAGTAAAAGACCTCATGTTTCTAACTTATCTGTAATAGTAAGACTAATATTTATCCAAAAATAACGTGTGCCTCAAAAGGACCGATTTGAGGGGCCATTTTCAGGTGGATATCTGCATTTTTGGTTCATTTGAAGTATGTACAACATTACTACCATAACTAGAATTATTAACACCAACAGTAATAATTAGTAATTTTCTCCCGTTGCCCTCTTTGTACCTGCTTTCTTTTGACTAAAAAAATAAAACTTCAAGTGTGTTTACTATAAAGATGACATAAGCAGCCAGGTTATCATGCTCAGACAAAATACTGCAAAACAGGAATCTCTCCAACACAAACAGAAATATTGTATTCATAAAGCTCAGAAAACAACAGTAAGGAGGGCCAGTTGTACTAGGTGCAGTGTATTTTCTGTACCAAGGAAGTTGTAAATAAAATTAGTTCAGAAAAAGAGACACCAACCAGTACACAGAAAGAAGATGCATGTTTGTTCACACATGTGTGCCACCCAAATGGTACTGAGCAAGGAGAGTTAAGGAGGCGGCACTGCACAGACCAAATGCCAGCAGCATGCTCTAAACCTCCGGAGAGTTTAACCAGTGAGAGGAACCTCAAATGAAAAACCCCCTGGACAAACAGTCCGCAACTCTAAACGCCAAACTGTCATTCTGACTAATAACAACCTATACATCACTCTGTTCTTAGAACAAATCCTAAAAATATGTGGACTTGATTTTCTGGTGGCAGTAGACACTTCTAGAGGAAGACATAACCGTACCGATTTGAAATCTCCATCGACATCAGAGTCCTCACAGATGTCCTCATGGGGCACATTTCTTCTCTTCAAAAGGTGCTCGTCTCTTTTGTTCTGCAGCGGTGGAAACAGGAATAACATGCCATGCGTATTCCCACAGAAACCAAAAATAAGAAGAAAAACATCTTGCACAACATTAAAACTGGCCATTTTATCTGGTTGGAAAATCATAATTACTGGAAGTCACTGGGCGTTTGTAGATGACAGCGCTGTATGATACAAAGTGATTACCTTTCTGAGTTCCACCACTACCTCCGTCCTCTGTCTTCTCATACTCTGTGGGAAAGATGGCACATTAACGTTATGCCACAAGGAGCTTTAATCCAAGCTATCTGTGTGCAAGAGTTTCACCAGCTCAAATTTAGGCATAGTCTGTGCTCGGCAGCCGGTGTGTGTGTGTGTGTGAGACCGGAGTTGACTCAGTCATACCTGGAGAATCAAGTCAGCAGCCAACATACTGCACACAGAGCATCCAACACACACACAAGTCTGACCCATTATCACTCAGCTTAGTTTAGTTTATTGCTAGACCATTTTATGTGACTTACTGACCCATTATCACTCAGCTTAGTTTATTGCTAGACCATTTTAATGTGACTTGCCATGGCAGCTAACCCTTACATTCTTTGATAGATACAATTTGTATTCATGTTCTCATCCATAAAAAAAAGATACAGGGATTAATCAGTTGCCTGTTTATTAGACACATTTGTATTATTATTTTCAGTCTATGTGAGTTTCTATATCTGAGCTGGATGAGAAGCACATCTCTAACGACATGACTGGATCCTCTTTAAAAAAAAAAAAAAAGTGAAGTTGAGTCAAAGCCTCTCTTAAACTGCTTCAACAAAACCTTCATGAAGAAGGGTTTATTGTAGGGACAATGGATTCGTTTTTTGTTAGATCCAGCTACTAAACTAGCAACTAAGTATAAGGCTTAACTTACTTTATGAGCATAAGAGTATTGTTTAAGATGCAGTTAGAGATCATGCCTGTGCTCCTTGTGGACAGCCCCCCACCATGGTGATGATATCCATGTTACCAACAGGCTGCTAGGTGAGACAACTCGGGTCTGGTTCCATACCTTGCTACAGAAACTACTGGTCAAACAGGATGTATGGGTATATCCTGCTTATGTGCATCTAAAGACATGTCGCCAGGAAACAACTTTACTATCTGCTAACTTATAGGCGTGCTGAGCAGGCTGTAAAGCAATTGATAACTTGTGACTCCAAGTTAGCGAGTATGCAGCTTTGATACATCAGCCATTTGATTGTGTTAACCACCGGGGCGTGTTAACCTTGATTTTCTAAGCGGGTGTAACGTTAGCAAACCACTGAGTAAAGACGTAACACTATGCCACTATTACAAAAGACCCAGGTAACTGGCCAGCCAAGAGGCGAAGTGGTTTCCGCCATTGTTTTTGGCGATAAAGACGGGGGATGGGTGGAACTGCGGCCACCAGCACCACTAAGCTTAACGTAATGTTAACTAGCGGGTGAGCTAGCGCGCAGGCTAGCTAGCTACAGTATCAAAACTTTCGTTAATCTGCCGCCGTATTAGCATGGCAATTAGGCGACCATCTCCCAAAGACTGCCTGGGAGTCATTTGTTATGTGTGTCTGCATATACATCAAAATGTTTCACTAGGTAACGTTAGAACACCGAGCAAAACCGATCGAGTGGATATGCTTCAGTTAAGCTAGCTCGTCCCGTGGGCCTGGCTAGCAGCAGGCTAGCAAACCCACCACATCCAGCGGATGCTTGAACTCTGACTTGCTGTTCTGATATGTTTTATAACCAGCGGTCTTACGTAAAGAAACCTGAAAAATGCAGAAGGGAGATTAACCACCCAAGGCCAGCGATTTAAAACTAGTTAACTATAAAGGCCCGGGTTTTGCTTACAAAGTTCACGATGGTGGAAATTAGAAACGACGTCACAGGGGAAGCCAGGAGGCGAAGCTGGCCGCGAACAGAGCGGCGGCAGCGCCGAGGAAAGGAACAGATCATCGACACAGCCTGCACAAGTTTTACCTCCAAATCACGGCCCTTATTCTTGAAATTCTTCAGGCGCTGGTTGTCCAGTTTGTCGTTGTCAGCCATATTAGCAGTTCTGGTTGCGTTAAATACAGATAAACTCGTGGATTTAGCTGCTACGCGACCCTTCCGAGTTCCCTTTTCTCAGCCTTTCGTTAGCGGACTATTTTCTGCTGCTCGGCCCGCGGTGCATACTGGGAATGCCGGTGGTGGAGGACAGCCTCGCTCTGGCGTAGAGGAAGGGTGGGGAAATCCCCTTCACTCTCATTGGTGGCACTGTTAACAAGCACCTACACGGCGCGACACACGACACCACATACTCACATTTAGTGGCAATAATCGTCCGTTATATACATTTATATCAGAGACAGTAGTTTGTGCTGCTGCTGCTCAACTGTATTGTATCTTAATGCCAAGTGTTTCCACCTTTATTGTTAAAGTTCAGGGAATTAACGAAATATTAGAAACACTCCTCAGTACTACACAATACAGTTAGACAGCAGCACAAACTCGACATCATTGTCTATGTATGCGTGTGTATGTATGCGTGTGTAGACTAAAGATAGACAGATGGATGGATAGATAGATAGGCAACACTATATTTCCAAATGAATGAAGAAGGCATTAAAAAAAATAACCAGACAGTGAAATAATCAGTACATATCAAGGGCTCTTTATTTTTTTTAAATTGTGATATTAATTATTTAAAAAATTCCATAACAAATAAAGAAAAACTGCTCAATTGGAAAACATTCTTTGAGCCACAGAAACAAGACTATATGCTGTTATCAGGCAGTTTGTGTGTGTGTGTGCACCATTAGACAGAATTGTCTCAAACACTGATATCTCCTTTTCTGAAAACTGCCCTGATTACCTAAGCTTGCTCACAGAATCCTTGTGGTTCATCATCACTGTCCAAAGACACTGTAATGAATCAGTAAAAGTTCTTTCTTCCCCAGAGATTAACTAATCACTGTGTTAATGTCACATTCCTCTCATCTGATCTGGTAGATCTTACATCAAGGCCATTTACTGATAAGTCATGGCAGTAGATGTAGCATGAATTAACCTTCTTCCATCCATCAGCTGCAGAGCAGGACTTGTTTCACAGCTTGGATACTGAAGCCCTTAGACCTCATCTTAACTTTAATGTCCTCTTGAGTCTGTTTCAGTGGAGTCTTCATCAGATAGACTAGCCTCCTGAAACCTTCCTCCAGTCCCATCCCAGTGGTGGCTGAACAGGCCTGGATGAACCAGGCTCTGCCATCACACACTCTTCTCAAGTCCAGTTTCAGTTTAAGTGTATCTGGGCTCAGAGCCCCTGGAAGGTCCTGTTTGTTGGCGAGGACCACCAGAGGAACTCCTCTGAGAGTCTCAAACCTCAAGACCTTGCAGGTGGAGAAAAACAGAGTAAAGGACACTTAATGACTATGCTGTCACTGAGCCTCTTCACTGCATAAAGATATGTTTGCTTTTCACATCACAGGTTATCTTCTTGGTGCAAGATGTCCCCTTTACTGAAAAGTTCATTCTCAGTGTATGTGCACTGTAGGTTTTCAGTTTTCAACAACAAACTTGTGTATGTTGCATATAAACTATTCAAAATAGTTATCTTGTGAAATCATACTCATACATGACCTAAACTCAGATTTAAAATGAGAAACCTTCCCACTTCATCACATACTCTTCTAATGTCAAATTACATGGTTCTGTATGGTGATGGTCAAACATCCAAGTAAAGTTACACATTTTTGAGAGGAGGCGTTGTTCAGTGTTTGTATTCTAATTATAAATACTCAACTGTTAAAATAAAGTGTTACTCACAAATAATTCTTTGATTTAATTACCTGATTCAGTTCCTTACGGGCCTCGGCTAGCCGCTTCTGATCCCAGCTGTCCACCACAAACACCAGCCCGGCTGTATCAGTATAGTAATGCCTCCAGTGGGGCCTCATCTTCTTCTGGCCCCCCACATCCCACACCGTCAGGTTTGGGGTGCTTCTGTCTGTCTCCAGTATCTCCACGTTGAAGCCCACAGTTGGCATGGTCATGACACTTTCATTGTACTTCAGTTTGTAGAGCAGAGTGGTCTTTCCTGATCCATCCAGGCCCAGAATCAAAACTTGTGCTTGGTTCTGAAGCCGGGATCCATGCATACCCATGGCCTGAAAGTGCAGCTTGTGTCTATACCACAAAGATACGGCTTCTTTTTCTTCTTTTTGTGTAAGTGTATAAACAAAACTGTTTACACAGTTTACTACCATGTATATGCATGCTCAGTGCATCCAGTCTTTTATGCAGACCATCTGCAGTCAGCATGCTTTATGAATTATCCCTCCCCTCTGCTGTAATGGGATTCTTTCAGTCTCTGCGTAGCTTCCACTAAAGCTATTTATATCTAAAGTGACAGTGCAACATGCCGTTCTCTGATTACTGCAGCGAATTTAGGGACGTCACATCACACCTGCCTCAGATCATCATACACACCAGCAGCCAGGAAGTCCATGGTACAACGGGGAGATTGTGTTTCTTCCTGGCTTGATGTCCCATAGCAGTGACATCAGTGGGAAGTTTTGGTGGCCCTGGCTGATGGGTGAATCTAGTTTTATCTTTAGACTGACAATATGTAGGCTAATGCAGCTTCCACAAACCTCCCAGCAAAAACAGTTTCAGAGAACATATTATCCATCTCTAATGCATGTAGATATAATATCTCTTGAATTATTACATCTGTAAAAGTGCACTAATATTGTACTACAGTGTTACCGGACAATATCCTAATGATAATTTGTTGATAATTAGTACACTAACAAAAATACAACTAGGTATTTTTTAAATACATCAGCGCATCATATTTATTTTCTCATGCTGGCTGATGTCTGATTTGTTTTTAATATAATTTATTATTCCAGATGTCTTGACTGGATTTTTGTTATAAACCAATTTTGTGTTAACTGACTACAACCAAAACAGTAAAGAAAGAAATATTTAGCTTGCACATTTTAGACTGATTGGCTTGAGCAGTGGTCTAAAAGACAGTCATGTTGTCTTGCTTGTCAGTTTTGTAACATCTGACATCTGCACCTTGTTAGACAGTATGAACAGCTCAAACATTGCTCTAAAAACAAGCCTGTCACAGTCTGTCTAGTCAGAACAAAATCTCTTGTTTATACAACACACGAGCAGTCTCTCTCTCTCTCTCTCTCTCCTTATGCAACAGGTGGCTGGTTTGGCTCTGAAATTGTCCGCGAAAATGTAGTTAAACTACCAACATTTAGTTCACTACTCCCCAACACTGGTAACACAGGAGTCCTAATAATATAATCTTTATTCCCATTTCCTGAATCTAGACAGTCCCTAGGATGTACATTCTGTACCGGTTTTGTTTTCAATAAATGTGTGTGGCATGTTCCCTCCTCTGTTTGATTTTATTTGTATATTTTAAAAAAGAAAAACATAAATTGATATGATCCTTTATCATTTTAATGTCACTTTGTTTTATATTTTAAAATTTCTGAATTCTATTTATTTATTTTACAGTTTATTAAAGTCAACAAAAACAAGTACAAATGCCATGTAAACATTCTGTAACGTACATTATCAAGGAAGAATGTGAACTGAAAAAGCACACACATTTTTATCTGGTATATATCTGTGTGAAGTTAAACAATCCAGGAACAGGCTTGTTGCTTTCTTCATGGCTGTATAAACAGGGGAGGGGTGGGTCTGACATGGGGACAGTATGTACATGTAATAGTTTCATGTCTCTTGGAGACACTTTCTACATGTGAGTTAGGAAGGTTCAACACGGAGGTCATGCAGTGTGCATGGTATGACTGACTGCATTTACAATAAACACCAAGAAGCAGTTTTGGCAGCAAACTCCATAACAGGAAATGAAAAGGTAAAAAATAAGGCAACAATAATGCATTTCATTCAAAGGCCTGTTAGATTTTGAGTTGTGGTTGTGGGAAATACTGTAGAGCATGAACAGTAATGATCTGGATCTGGATGAAGGAGTTTTCTCTCAGTGAAGATGACATGACATCAATACATGACCCTTAACCAGTAAGCTGTCCATTTTAGTACATTGATATCATGTAGATTGTAGTAAATGATAATGTAAAAAAGTCAGACAGCACAATAGCATGCCAAAAAGTAATTAAAGTCTGTTTAAAAGGGTGTAAATCTGACAAGTCAATGTACAGTCCCAGATAATGTAATATTAGAGTTAACTCTACTTAAATTATTATATAACTATATATACAGTCATGGCCACAAATATCAGCACCCCTGCATTTCTGTCAGATAACACACCGCTCCATTTTTGGAGTTCTGTGTGGAATGGATCAGATTTGGCTTTTTTTCTGCTTCTTTTGTGTCGTTCCAATACAAACCAAAGAAATAAACATGAGAATACCAAACGCAGGGATACCAATATTTTTGGCCATGACTGTATATTTACTGTAACCATAAATTTCTGAATTTAAAAATCAATAATTAGATGTCTGTGTCATAATGCTGAAACACATCGCTTTAAAATACTGTATTGCCGTTTATACACATTAAAAGTGTCGTTTCATTGCACTTTGACAAGCTACAGTATAATACATAAGTTAATACATTATCAGCAGTTACATGAATCCTGATAATTTTGGACTGAACAGAGTAGCAGAAGAAATCAAACTAGAGTGTCAGCTTTAAAAAGATAAAGGTAAAAGTTATCAGCCATCAAAATAAGCAGGAGGCTTGACCAGCACAGAAACGGACAGCAGTCATTTTAACCAAACTAAGACATTCAACAACTTATCAAAAGGGGCAACTCAAGTCAAAACACTTCATTCATCACAAATTCTCATGCTCAGGAGTGATGTAATAATGTAGTATGTTCTACTGTGGGACAATGAATGGTAATATTTGAACAAGCATAGGAATATTGTCATTTGTGCAGTTCATGAATAAAGGGGATAAATTCATATTAAAAATCTGTCCAGTCATGTTTTTGATCCAGAAAAAAATAACATGTGATCATATTGAATGACAGATTTTTCAGTGCAGTCACTTGGTACATGTGGAAACACAGAGTTAGCAAACTAAAAGTAAAAAATTAGTGGTCACACAGGCATTAAGTGAAAGACATTGGATAAATTCCATTTCCCTTATTTTATTTTGCCTCATTCAACCAGGAAGTCATTCTGGACCGCCATCTTGAAGGACATCTCAAAGCTCTTATTCCTGCTTTGAGGATGGAGGAGGCTGCCTGGAGGAACCATGAACAAGGATACACAAGACCATCCTTAGCGGAAGTCTTTTAGGGCTTGAAAGACTCCTTTATCACAATTCAGTTGGTGATTGGATGCTTCAGATGACGTATCGGGGAAAAAGACATCTTATGTCTGTATAAATGTCATTTCCCCAAATGAAATTAAATTATCTCTGTATAAATTCCCCTAATTACATCCACGTTTCCCTCACTTGCATCTTTTCCTTGCATCTTAGTCCCACCCATGTAAAATGCAAGGACACACTGCGAGGAGACGCGTTTTAACTTACCTGAGATCTCCCTTCCTTGAGCCTTCATGTGAAGCGTCCAATCACAAAGTAATTTCTGATAAATGGGCGTGTCAATCTGTAACAGACTTCCACGAAGGATGCACTTGTGTGGAAGTGAAACTATCACGTATGCCTTAATTTGTCACTACTAGCTAGACAATCAATTGGTTTCAAATGTGACACTTGTGTCCAAGTGTACACAAAGACAGACATCTATTACTATTTCTCCTCTCAACGACTCTCTCAAACACACACATACACACTCACATAGATGTATGCAGACTTATGAGCTGCACAGAGCTAAATCTGTTTGTTTGCATAACAGTGACCCAGTTTGCATTAAGGTGTCTCAAAGATATGGCTGTAAATCATAATGAAAGACATTTTCTTACATGTGTCACGTCTACAGCAGTAAAAGGAAAGGAGGGGCCAGGGCGGTTTGATGCACTGATGAATCTGTGATACAAATAGTTCTCACTCAGAAAGTTGGGGCCTTGAGTTTTAAATCTTTCATCTTTACCCTACTGCTATTTATATTCAAACCTACAGATACTCTGTGTATGGCACAAGGTCTACTGCTCGGTGGCCTTGCCTTTAAACTTGACAACCATGACGGTGATGTTGTCAGGACAACCACGATAGAAGGACTGGAGGACGATGCTCTTGGCACCAAAGTGAGGCTCGTCCAGTCGTTCCCTGATGAAGCGAACCGCCTCCTCGTTGCTGAAGGTGTCCCACAGACCATCGGACGCCAGGATCATGAACTCAGGCTGCAGTTTGTTCAGGTCAAAGGATATGATGTCGGGATCAGGAACGACCACGTTGAGGTTCTTTAGAGGGTAATCGCCCAGGGAACGAGACATGGCCAAGATGCCCTGGACGCGCCACGAGCCGTTGAAACTAATGAAACCACCTGAGGAGGAAGTCAGAGGGAAAAAGGTTGGACAATGATAACATGGAAAGTGCGGAAAAAAAGGAGGAGAAAGGGTGTAGGGTGGTGCTGGAAAGATTGTGAAAAACAATGAAGACAAAAGGAAGAACAATGGTGGTTGAGAAGAAGAGTAAGCGATGTGGACTGTGTTTCTGCCATTATCACAGGAAGATAACAGGTTCTTTCTGTCCCTCTGAACCAGCTGGCAGCAGGTCTCCTCCTCCTACCCACTCTGAGAGGCTGCAGTCATATCAAAGTGCAAATACTAATATGGATCAGTGCCACATGGTTTCACTCACCCACTGCTCACTGTTCATGCTACAAAGAGTTTATGTTGGATACATTTCAATTCATGTCACATCTGGCAAGTACAGCTGTGTGGCCTCTATGGCTTCAACAGATTTTCAAGCAGGGAATTGTGCTGGAAATGACTGGATGAGGCCTTCCATTCTAGGTCAGGGTGTCTTCCTAGTCCCTAGGAATTATGAACATTTCTGTTGTATTCTATAAACAAATAAAGGAATAAAAGATAAGTTGTTGGTGTTGTGTTTTTTTTATTTTTATTAATTGCTGATGAAATAACTGTCAAGTGTCTGGGTTTTGCCTCCTCGCTAACTGGTTGTCGCAGTGTGCTTTTAATATTAGAATGTTTCATTGTGGGTTTGAAGTCAGATGAAGGTCTGAAGTGAATCATTGCTTGTGTATCCAAATTTAAACTTTCTTCAGCATGATTTTCCCATGTTCCTGTCTATCAGGAGAGCATAGACAATGCTTACATTGGCATTGAGGAGTAACAACAGTGGAAAGAAAAGTTTCAGGTTTCCCTTGTTAATACAGTATGTGCATGTATGCATCAAGGAACCTGTGGTGTAGGTAAAACATTTCTATCAATTGCTCTTGAGCATCTATGTTTATAAGAATGTGTCACAGTGAGAGAAGGACAAACCCTACTGTAACAAGCTGATGCTCCCTAATGAGAGAGGGCTCCTGTAAAGCTGTTTTTGTTCCTGTACATGAGAATTAAATCATGAGGTGCCCACCTCTCACTTACTCAAGGTCACTAGAACAGTAGAAAATCTCACCATCTGCACGGTCACAACCACAAGCATGTTACATGATTAAGCAAACAGAAACATGATGCAAACTAAATCTGAGGATTTTTTTCAGTACCCACTTAGACCATTAGGTGGAGATGGTGGGCTATCCTGACAGCGACCACACTTCCTGACTGATCTGGCAACCTGCCACCAAACTCTCCTCAGCACAGAGTTCACAGATAGGGTAGGAGGGAGAATTATGATGGCAAATACACCTTAAATAATGTGCTCTGTCTGGCTGCATTTGATAACATGCTGCTTTAGAAATGGAATGTGTTATCAGTCACTAGGCTCTGATGTCAGCCTGAGTACACAGAGACAAGATGTGGAGAAAGAAAAGGATAATGGAGCTTTGACCATTAAAAGACTTATTTTATGCTTTTATGACAACAATCTGAGTTTTGACGTTCCCTCGAGTTTTGACTAAAGCCTTGTTCTAAGAAGAAGAGCAGCTGAGAAACATCTGCTTGTCTGGACTGCAGCTGTTTCCTCACCAGCCTTCTTGATCCTCTTGCGTTCTTTGAGCTGGTAAGGTTTGTGGTCATGTGACAGAGGAACAGCATTGCCGTTTTTATCGCAAAGTACTCCACGGGAGTCTCCGACGTTGGCTACCGTCAACTCTTTGTCAGACAGCAGGGCCACCAGACATGTAGTACCTGAAACACAGGGAGGTTAGAGGGGAAGAGGAGGGGGCATGGAGACATGAAGACAGATGGAGCCACAGGAAAAAAAAAGGGCAGGGGGGGCAGCAGAGGAGAATCACAATTGGGGTCAGCAATATAAATACATGTGTAATTTCCTGCCAGTATTTACTGTAATATAGTAAACTTTTGAAAAAATGGAATTGGCTATTCTGTTTTTGGTTTTTAGAGCTAAATGCTAATGCAAACAGATAATAGCTCAAAATGACAATGCTAATACGCTGATGTTTAGCAGGTGTATTTGACATGTTCACCAGTTTGTTAGCATGCATTTGCTAGTTAGCTGTGCAGAGTACGGCTGAGGCGGATGTTGGTATTTTGTCATAAAGTAGGTCAGAATTTAAAATTTGACCAGATGACCAAATTTACAGTAGTGTGCAAAAGTCTTAGACCACCATTAGCTTTGTTGTTTTAGCAATGTTGAGGACTTTACATATTTGATTATTTATTAGAATATAGGAAATATGTACATAGCATTAAAAAGAAATGTCAGAAAAAAAATATCAGCAAACCAAGTGGATACTCCAGATGTAGTATTTAAGCTGTTCTAATGAAATCTGAAGAATCTGGAGAGGTTAAGGACACAGACAGGAGTGAAAGACCAAGAAAACTGTCCAAATTGGATGAGAAGGTTCTCAGATTTTCTCCTTTGAGAGAATGCTCACAAAAATTGGAGTGAAGATCAGTGGAAAAGAGGATTATGGAGCGATGAATGGAAATTTGAAATGTTTGGGTCTGGTTGTTGACAGTATGTGAGAAGAAGAGGTGGAAGAATGAGAGTAGCAGCCTTCAGTGAAACATGGTGGAGGGTCTGTCATGGTTTCAAGACTATAACAAAGTCTCCCCAAAAGAGTTCAGGCTGTGCTGAGTGCAAAGGGAGGTCACACTAGATACTGACTTTGGACTGCAGAAGTCACTTTGTTCTGGAAATGTTGTTTTTTATTAGAGTGTATATATCCTCTGTGTTTTCTGGGCATATCTTAATAAATATCTTGGGAAATATAAAGTATTACTAATATAAAATTTGACCAGATGACCAAATTTACAGTAGTGTGCAAAAGTATATATTATACAGTATATATTATAATTATAATAGTTATTATAAATCTTTCTAAAACAGCTAAACTAGTGGTGGCCTAAGACCTTTGCACAGTACTGTGCGTATTGCCATATCACCCAAACCTAAATCATAGCAACTTTAAAAACTTTTTTGACAATGTTCAACCTGAATAAACGCCCACTATCCATCCAGTTCAGTCCTACACTAAAGTGAAATGCATGAGAGCGGCCACAAACTACTGAAACAAACTATTTGAAGTACAGCTTCTCTTCCTTTCTTTTCCTCTTCTCCTTCCTCTATTTGTTTAGCCTCTCAGCCAGGCAGAACACAGTCTGGACTCAGAATCCGAGAGCTATTGTGTGAGATCCTGTACAGAAAAAACAAATCTGCCTGTTTGGCCATCTGCTCACCCAGAGCACAGACAAAGCTGGAGAGAGAGGGGAAACAGAGGAGAGAGACAAAAGGAGACCACCCAGATGAGGGTGCAGGGAGGGTGATGGGAAAATAGGACATACAGTTAAGACATTCTCACAGTTTTAGTATAAAATACTCCAAGGTAGAAGAAATACCAAAACAAAGCTGGTCTTAAATGCTATACTAAGAATGTGCATCACTTACTAATTTTTGAGACTTTCTTTTAAAGGTCTACATGTTGGTGTGACGTTGGCTGATTGGCAGTTTATATCAGACATTTGCTGTTGAACTGAGTGAAATAAATCTCCCCCATGAACTATTCTTCCATTTGTTCATGATTATTCAGTCCTGCGCCTGATACAGTCAGTATGTGAGGAATGAAATGGGAGAGAGGGGTGACACAGGCAGCAGTGGACACAGATGAAATGAAGAGTAAGTGTACAGGAAGGGTAGAGAGCTTGGAGGACGGGGAACAATATGAGGAAAGAAAGAAAAGAGATTACTTCTCAGAAGGACAAAGATTTTTATTATTCCCCTTTATGGCTTTGGGTGAGAAAAAAAGTGATAAACTGAAAATTGGGCAAAAAAGGAGACAGAAAATAACTACAAGACAGAGCACCAGCTGGAAGCGAGGTTCGGATGAATGAAGTGAGTACTGGTGCCACCACTAAATCTTTTACACAATCTGCGAAACATCCATTACTGTTGGTTTCATCATTATATGAATCCCTATAGCTGCCACTACAATGTGCCATGCTGTCCAGTTAATTATCCTTATCTACTCCTCATGGCAATAGAGATAATGGACTGAGATGCCTTGCTAGCTCACCCTTCCCCAATTAGCCCAGCCATGCCAAGCATCCCCTATTAAAATGGCATCACAACCCCATGCACCCTGTTCTCATGCTAATTATTGGTTTAGCTTGGCCAGACACAGCTTCAACACTCCAGTATGATTAACATCTCAGCCCCCAGTTATTCTCCCACTCCAACTTGTACCGTTGCGCTGCTTTACAATGTGCTTGTGCTCTCAACAATCATGGAGAGTGTGAGTGTCCACGTACAGCACCAGAATAGATCCCATGGAACTATGTTCAGGCTGCTTGGTATTTAGTTGAAAATGTGAGGGCAGCACTGTCACCACCCTGCTCGTCTGCTTCAAAGTCTTTTTTTAAAAAAGACACTACCTATCCATTAGTCCACCCACAGTGTGGATTCTTCTCCCTTAAAACTGCCATCCTGTTTGACCTGCCCTTCTTGGACTTGCACTATTAACATCTACAGCAATATTATTTTTAGCATGTGCAGCATTTTAAACTGCTTTATAAATGTGCATCTCTCTAAATTTGCATACTGTGTCACCATGAAGCTTTAGACCATCTTATTTTTTTTATCTTTGCACAGTTTTCAGTCATTGCTTCCTATCATAACGAATCAGCTGCTTCAGGGCCAGCCTCAGCCTTTTTGAAGCCATAGATGAAATTGTGTTTTGGACTCCAGCGTACATTTGATCCACTCTAATCACTTCTGTGCTTCCTGATCCTTTTACATTTTTTATGATGCTAAACAGGAGGGTAAGTAATTATTTATCATAAAATGTAGTGACAGGTCATATCTAGACAAAGCATAAAAGCTCATGAGCCTGTGGATCTCTTCTAATTACGCACCGTGGATATGGCAATGCTGACAACCTTCTGGGTCAGGAAGTGGTTTAAAAGATCACCCCACCAGTTCAGCACTGCTATCACAATGTGGGGCTCATGATGGATAGTCACTGTATATTATATTCCACACAATCCTCCTCTTTGTCAAAACCTAATGCAATCTGACCACTGACAGTTTAGTCTGAGAGTCGGGTGTATTATGCTAAAAGTGGCTAACGTAGCTGTGAGTCTCATGCCTCAAGCAGAGATGAGCAGCAGGCGGCAATGGGTTGTCTGCCAACCAACCAAGGATGCTTTTAAATCCAACATCAAAATTGCAAATACACTTAATACAATAAAACACAATGAAAGACACACCATGTTGTTCCATTAGCTATCTAATGGCCCTGCAGTGACTAGAACTGTTCGACTAACTCTAAGTTGTGTACTCACACTATAAAACAGGACTCAAAATGCAGAATATCCCGATCTGATATGTGAGAACAAGTATGATCAAGATAATTTTTACTGACTGCTTTCAGCTATGTAAAGCTTTTGTTGATCCTTTGTTCTATAGCTACACACCCACATCCTTTATTTGGCAGCTGGGTACACCAGCTGTCTAAAACGCCTCATTGGAACTTATTCTCTTACATAGTGTTGTCAGTGACTGAACCACACAGTGACATACACAAGTAAACAACAGCCATCAGTTTCAGTTAATGATAATCCACGCTGACAGCCAGTGGACCCACTTGGTGAAGAATTAAGTCACTGTTCCAGTATTACAGCACAGAAAACTCAGAAAACTGTGTTTTATTTTGATTATGTAGTCACAAGTCATTAGTATTCTATGTCAAAATTTCAATAATCCCTAGAGCCCCACTATAAAGAGCCAAAGTTAGGGTCATTTCAAGGTGCATTCCCAAAGGTATATCTCAGGGATCTATTCAGAACTGTTCATTTCTGTCAACTGAATCAGATAAACAGAATTATTTAAGAACTGCTCTGACCTGTCACCATTTAAATGAGAAGCTTAGAGTTTGGCACACACAGTAGGAAGGGGTCACTCATAGCACAACTGAGTTTGTAAGACCAGTGTTGTTGTCATTATTTGGTGCCAGTGGTGTCATTTTCAGGTCAACAAAAACAAAGTGAACTATAAAAGGAAACACTGCAAAGTTTGAACACACTGGGATAAGAAAACATTTGCTTAAAAGGTAATGGAATGCATATTTAATGTAATCAGACACTTCACAGTGGAAAACAAGAGCAACTTGACTTACAGCATGGCCTCTGCCAACCAAGTTGCAGTTCACGTGTGTCTGTCCAGACTCATGTAATATACTGTATGTAATGAAGACTTTGAAAGACTTTAATAAAACATAATAAGAGTATTCTCTGGCAAAATGGAAGCTATCACTATACTGACATGTATGATTCTAGTGAATCACTTCCAGTGAGACACATGCTGTCTTCACTCAGAAACTGTTTTTACAGAGGTCTGATAAAGAGCTTTGACACATCGTCCAAAACTCCAAGTGGACGTTTGTGCCAAATTTGAATAAATACCCTGAGATATCTGTACCTGAGATATCATGTTTACAGGAATGAAACGGAAGTTAAGCCCCAGTGACCTTGACCTTTGTCCTTCAACCACCAAAATAAAACCAATTAATCCTCAAGTCCAAGTGGATGTTTGTGCCAAATTTGAAGAGATTTGCACAAGGCGTTCCTGAGATATCACGTTCACAAGAATGGGACAGACATACTGACGGATGGATAGACAATCCAAAAACAGAATGCCTCTGGCAATAAAATTATTACAGCAAACAAATGCAAAGCTAGAAAAACAAACAGAAAAAAAGGAGTTTCATGCAGAAAAGAATGGCACCTACACAAAGCAGGTATGTTTTTATTATAATGTATCTGACTGTTCAGAAAAGCACGGTGAACTAGGGAAGACTCATACAGCATGATGGAGCGATATACTATGTAGTGATCCATTTTCTTGCAGTACAATATCAATATCAATAGTGTTGCCACCAGTAATACAAATACTTTGCTGCATTTATGAGGCAGAAATATTTCCTTCCTTCCTGCAGATATTTGATTCCTAACACAATATGATTTCTGGCAGTTCAGCCTTTTACCAGTTTGACATCGAAACGATGTCATGTATTCATTATGCTGTGTGTGTGTTATGAGGGCTCAGTCTCTCTGCGCTCACTTCTTTATGTCACCTGTCTAAAAAAAAAAAACACAAAGCACTTCATAATGCAGTGCAAAAATACAATTTACAGTATGTTTAACCGCTGCTTTGTAATACAAATATTATGCATATTTAGAAGCATATTTTTCCTTTTTGGAAGGTGGATGAAGGTGCTCAAAATCTTTTCCCCAAAATATTTCTGTACATACAGTTCTTCTATAATCTATAATAAGTCATAATGTTAATCGTCCCTAACCTTTAATTTGTCAGATATGACCTTTTATGTATAAACTATCAACAATAACTACTTATTATTGGACTAATGCCCTGGACGGGACACCTCTGTGTGCTGAAAGACACAGCTACGGTACATGAAGGTTAGCACAAGCAGAACAACACACCGCATTATGGAGACTGTTTCTTTAACAGACTCTAAGGTTCCGGACTTTCCATCAAAGTCCCATCTCCCTTATCTTTCTTTCAGGGGCTTTTGTTTGCTGATAAACAACAGAGGGGTGAAGGAACATGGGGATAAATCAGATATGCTGTTGTTCTGGGGACTGGGAGCTGGATTGAGCTATATTCTTCCTCTCTCTTTTTTCCCTGCCATCTTAATTTAGGCCCTGATTACAACAGAAAACAGGGAGCTGTGCTCCCTAAATGATGTGATTGTTGAATCAGATACAGGGACAAGAATGCACAACAATTACCTGATCAGCAGATCCTTTCCTCTGGGATGCCGACAAGAAACCTAGGACAAATACTGCAGCAATATCCAGCCCTGACTGTCTAATGCCCAGGACTAGATGTCAGAGAAGTGTTGAGCTTCACTGTAAGTTTGTCTATAAGCTCAGCGCCAGTCCTTCTGTCTGTGCTGTCCAAATTAAGGATGGTAGAAATATAGAGCTACAAGAAACAGAGAAAAACAGATAGGGGAAGAATATCTGGATGTTTCTGGATGCAACAGGGCATGTAGCTTAAGAGCAGAGGAAGGCAGAGGGATTATCTTCGTGGCCGTTTAGAGAGCGACATAGATCAGAAATATAGATTCTTTTCTACAACTAGGGAAGCCGCAAAGGACAAGAGGATAAGAATAAAGCAGGAAGAAGATGTTGAAAGCAGGTGAATGTAAAGGTAATGGAAGTGCAGGATATGAATCTTTTCAGAGGTGGCCTCCACACTGGGAGCACAAATTTTAATTCTCCTCTTTAACAATCAATGTATCATGTGACTCATTATTCCTATGAGAATGTGAGGCCTTCTCAGTGACCCCTTCATACCTATGTCCTCCCTTACAACTTAAAATGAGCCACGTCAGCTGTTTGTACACATTTTTGTTGAGGCTGTACACTGTTCAGACCTGGCGAGCGTTCAGACCGAGTGCGGTAAAATGCAATAACCTGTTGTGATTTTACACATGGGGGTGCGTTTGTCGGGGGGGTGAGGGGCTGCAGTGAGTGTTGTAGGCGTGTACAATACAGCCATGTTGTAATGAGTCGACGTGAGTGGTTTTATTCACGTTTTCAGCCCATGAGTTTCTGTTGTGTTTTGGTTAGCCATGCTGCTAACATAGCGTACTTTATGTTAGCACCAATTCTACCACCAGCGTGTCAGGATTGATAGATAAAAAACACTGTTTAACATCCAGAAAACCAACTAATGAAAATATATGGCATGTTGTTATGGTGGGTTAACTGTGGCCCAAATTTGACAGTGAATAGCAGTGAATGCTCATGCTAACAAGGTAAACAAAAGAGTCTTCTTCCCATGGGTGTCCATGTTCTGAACGTCCCCCGTATGTGATTGGTCAGTGCAGTACCTTTGCCAGATAATGTCACCATCCAGCCCGACAAAAGTTAAACCAGATTCAACTTTTTCACACCACTGTGTTTTGCTGGAGCCCCTTGTGGTGCTGGTGCCAGCTGTGGTGAACACAATCCCCTATAGAATGGAGAGGGCTGAGCTTTCACATCTTTGAAACTCAGTCTGAATGCAGATTTATAATCTAATTGCAGACTGCTGCATTCTCTTTCCTGTGTATTACAACTTGGGTGGTAATTTTGGTCATCATTTTTATGAGTTGTGATAACAATGATCTCAAAGTTATTGCTGTGGTCTGGGAACACTGTGACATCGCTGCAACAAAGTCCAATGTAGCAAGAAACGGACGCTGTCGAGTAACCACACAGGTTGAAAACAGCAGCTTATGCGGATAATCTAAGTCAGTTTATGTTAAAACCTAAAATTTTAGGCTGAATGTGGGGCCCCTGTATGTCTGGGGGTTAGGATGTCAACAATGAACTACAGCACCCCTGATTCCAGTGACTTTTGTTGCATCATCACTGTGTTCTCCCCTACTTTCACTTTAGCTTTCTACTCCAACCTCTAATGAATGATTGTTCAGAAAATAAACAGCGAGGTTAGTTTTTAAACTGTGATGGATGTTTAGAATCCATCCATCCATCCATCCATTTTCCTCCGCTTATCCGGGACCGGGTCGCGGGGGCAGCAGTCTAAGCAAAGATGCCCAGACTTCCCTCTCTCCAGACAATTCCTCCAGCTCCTCCGGGGGAATGTCGAGGCGTTCCCAGGCCAGCCGAGAGACATAGTCCCTCCAGCGTGTCCTGGGTCTTCCCCGGGGCCTCCTCCTGGTGGGACATGCCTGGAACACCTCCCTAGGAAGGCGCCCAGGAGGCATCCGAAACAGATGCCCGAGCCACCTCCATGTTTAGAATCAACAGTTTGAAAAATATTTTTACCGTTCACATTCATTTTCTTTTTGTTTGTTTTGTTAGTTCTCTTTAACCATGCTGCTTTGCTTTTGCAGTGAACTTATAACATTATAAATATATATATAGTTATAATAGCAAAGACTTAGCACAACAAAACCCAGGTGTCCTCAAATAAGACTTTCCCTTTAAAAAAGGTTAAACCAAAACCTTTTCACCGCATCTCCACTCTGAGTTAGTCTAATCAGGGGCACTGGAAGGAAAAGCAACCCTCCCACAGGAACGCTGAATTCTTGCAGCTGCAGTACGTCACTACAGTTAGTCTATGTAATCATCTCATTATATGTAGTTCAACTGTCTCCTCTGTACATTTAATAACTCATTGTTTCAGTTGAAGAAAAAAAGACTGGATTATCTCTAGTGTTAACATCTGGCTCCTCTGTCTTGGCCTTACTGCCTCTGATCTCCACAGAGCATTTTAGTCTTGTTTTACCTTTGTCAGAAGCTTAACAACGAGCTGAGATGGAACAAAGAACAAAGTCAAAGATGTTTATGAATGAAACCCATATGTCTCTGCATTGCAATATATGATTCTGCTGTGGGACTTGTTCTCTTCCTTCTTTCCAAAGATTGTCTCTTTGCCATCTCTGTTTTGTTTCGGTTCATGCCGTCTTTCTCATCACCCTTTGAATCTGGGACCTCACGCTCCTCACCCTCTAAACGAGCCTCTTTTGTCCTTCCTTACCCTTTCTCTCATTCCTTCTCTTTAATTGCTCTTCCCTCATTCTGCCTGTCGTACAGGTGTCCCGTTCGTCCCTGCGGCATAGCTCTCACCGGTAAACTGTCCTCCCTCCACACCTGCATCCTTCCCTATGACCCCTCTCCTACCATTTTCCATCCCTCACTCTCTCTCATGTACATTTCCCCTCCCTCTCTGCCTCCCTCCAGAGATAATTAGTACAAGCTTTGTGAGATCAGCTTGTATTTAAACAGCTGAATAAGCAAGGCCTGGGGCTGCTGACAGCCGCTGTTCAACAATAGTCAAGTGAAACAGTGGAGGAGAAAATGATAGTTTGTGTGCAGAATGATAGGGGACATTTAAAAACATTGATGCAAACAAACTAGAGCCGTCTCATTGTGTTTCCAGTAATGAGCAACACACATGAGTAAACTCCTTCTGCATGTGGCCTCTGTCCTCTAGTTTTGTGGTCGCACATTCGACCTATTGTACGCACATACAGCATTTAGAGCCTTGCTAATTAACGAACCAGTGTAGGATCTAGGCTGACAAAATCGCTGCAGGACACTGCCAAACATACTGTATGGTAATGCGTAAATATTTTGACAGTTTGGAGGTGTTTGTCCAGGCTGATGAGGTCTTTAACAAACAAAGACACACCAACCTGCTTCATTGTAAGTGTCAGCCAGTTTTTCCAGCATTTCTCTGTCCAAGTTCAGGATCTGCTGCTCTAGGATGGAAGGATAGGAAAGGCCGGTCCGCTCCTTTTTATCATCTTTCTCTTTGTCTTTTTCTTTGTCTCGCTCTTTCTCCCGTTCATAGGTCAGCAGCTGCTGGCGGAGAGCCTCAGGCAGGTGGGCCTTGGCAAAGTCAGCAGCAGCCTGATAAATGGAAAGCAGAGAGAGACAGAAGAAGAATTAGATGGCTGCAGATCAAAATGATTTTGGGTGAAAAACACTTTTAGACGCATAAAAATCCCAACTGTTCTTGATTGCAGTGTCTTGCTCGTGAGGATTCTGGTTTTCTCTGTTTTAAGTCACTGAATGTCTTTAGAGTTTGGACTGATGATCAGGGCAAAACAAGACATTTCCACACATCATCTTGGGCTTTAGCTAATTTTAACAGGAAGTTTTCTATATATGTGTGACATTTTACATATATTTAAAAAATCCTAGCTATTGAGATATACTTTAAAATAAATATCTGACATTATGGGACATGCGCTTCTACGCTTATTTGCTTTCTTGCATAGAGTTTAATATGCAGGCTATAGCATAAACAATAGAAGCAAGGGGAGAAAAACTAGCTTGTCTCTGCTAAAATAATATGTAATATCTTATCTGTTTAATCCACACAAAATCCAATATATAAAAATAACAAGATGTGGTCTTATGGGGAGTTACTTCCTGGAACTATGTTTTGGCTCGGCCACTAACTCCTTGAGGTTGCCAGGCACTAGCAGCAAGAAACTGAGTCATTTTCCATTTCCATGTCTGGATATTACTAAGGTTTTGATACAGAATGTTGAAATGTAGAATTCTTGTTTAAAAAAATCTGATATCTATATCCATGCACGCACACACACACACACACACACACACACACACACTATCTTTTGCACAGCAGGCGACAGCGGCAGTAACCTGCTTGTCCTCTCTGCCTTGCTGAAGCAGGTAAATCACAGATAAACAAAGATAAAGAAAGAAAAACTGCATCACCAATCAAACCCACATAAGCCCACAGTCACACCCCATTGCGGAATAGGGCTGAGGTAGAGATACTGTATCCTCACCTCGATCCATTTTATTCAAAGGATAACACCAACTAAACCTCTTTCCACACACTCCTACTGCTGTTTCAGAGCAAATAATGCCTCTCTCCCCTGGCTCAGTCCCAAGCAGAGAAGACAAGCCAGTCCAAGGTCATTAAGTTCAAAAAGTCCCGAGTGCAAATATCAGATAATGTTCTGCTGACATGTCTGTTATCTGCAGTATCCCAGATTAATGTAGCTCATATTTCATACATGCTTTCACTTATAGAAGGTCTGCAGTAGTTAAAAAAGCAATGGTTTAAGAAAACTAAGTGAGTCATTCAAGGCTGCAGGAGGAGAAAAGTTTGCAATTTCCTGGTGTGGAATACAATAATTTGAGGTCATATGACAGAGGCTCATAGATGAACTCTAAGTCTCAAGTGGTCATACACTGTCCCCATTTAGCTCTCTCTCCCATCAATACCTGCCTCTCTGTCTCTCTCCATCTATATCTCATTCTGCTCTGGGAAATTACTTTCAAGGACTCCGATAACACTGCCTCCTCTGCTTCTTCTCCACACACGAAAACAGCTCATCTACTCCTCTCGTTAGATCTCATCAGTGTTGTTAAAGCTTCCCATTGCAAGCTTCGTCCCTCTTCCCTTATCTTCTCCACCAATACCAAACACTTGCTGTGTTTTTCTTTCTCAGATGTGTATGAACCTGCCTTTCTCTCATTTTCCATTTCCCACAGTCCCTTCTCTCTTGCCGCCTGTGATGTTCAGTCTAATATCACCACAGATCTTTTCTACATCCCTTCCTGACACCCTCCTTAAGACAGCCACTGTTGACATACCTTAATCCTGTAGTTACCATGCAGAGAGCAGGTGTCACAAATTGATTTCCAAGGTAAAAAAACAAAACTGAACATGAAGTCTTTTGTTTGGGGTATGCTGTACCAACTGCCAAGCAGTTTAATTGTCAGCCTGTCAGTCCTTAGCAAAGCACCTTTCCCAGCTACATTTCTTCTAACAATTTGACTACACAATGTGTAAGTACCAATCACTAAGGCAGTGTGACTGCATGTGTCTTAGCCTTGACAAACGCAGCCTTGACAATGGAAAGTGGAGGATAGCTTAAGTCTTGATTATGTGACCATCTAACTGGCTAGTTACCACATTGGACACCTGGCTGCAGCATCAGCAGGAGCTCAGAGGATGAAAGCGGGCAAGGGCAGGTAAGGGAGGGATAGCAGGGATAGATGGAGGTGAAGATAAAATGGCAAGGATCAAGCATAGTAATGCTGAAGGGAACAAAATCAGATTAGCAGCAGGCATAGGCCCACAGTGGAGGAATGATGGAACAGCTAAAGGACAAGAGGGCAAGAGTAGAATAGATGACAGCTGTCTTTGATGGGAGAGTTATTCTAGCTGAAAAAAGAGAAAGGGGTCAAAGCAGCAGGGGTCCACAACAAATATTCTTTGCTGAACAGCAGTAGAGAAAGTAAAAATGCTGAAGTTGAAAGTGGGGCAGAGAGGTGATTAAAAGTAGGTTTGACAATCCTGGAAAAACCAGCAAGAGGAAGCTCGATTTTGAAAGACGCCAACCAAAAATCCCACCCTTTCATTCTGACTTCTCTCTAAAGCCACTTCTCCAAAACACAATGTGTACTGCCTGACTACTATTTACAGATTTCAGGAAAATAACAAATGTCCCCCAAACAAAATAAAACTGATAATTACTTGACCAGCAGAAATGCGCCCACCATGGCGCCACTTTTCAGCCCCTTTTGTTCTCTCAGCTGTTGCCATTGTTCAAAAGCCACACCAATGTTAATTCCGGTTTTACTTCTTGCAGCTTCCAACTTATTTTTAGTTGTAACTTTCTCTAATACGATGCTACCCACCCAGATTTGTGGCCCCAAACTCCAGCTGGGGAACTCTGGTTCATGGCTAAACTGCTTTAGCCCTAGCTTGTAGCCGGCAACTAGGTTTAGAAGTCTGGGCTTTTCCGATGGGGAGACCTGAAGAGGGGGGCCAGTTAACTCCGTTCAAAACACAGACTTTATTCTGTCGTGATAACACAAACACTGCATGTGGGCTTGGATGCCCAGTTAACTGCATTACAATCCTATCTATGCACTTAGAGCTGACTACTGTTGGTATTTCCCCCACTCGTGGTTTGTTCCGTGCAGTGGTCTTCTTGCTCTCCCACTGCACACACATGTTGCAACACCAACATTACCTATAAGGTAATGTATATGTCTTAAAGGGGAAGGCCTGGTCTCTGACAAAGGTCTCTGCTTGGGAATGAAAGCTGCTTGGGGTACCTTCTCTGCCATAGCTCACTAGGTTTAGCTGTAAATCAGCGGTAACACAAGTGCCTGCCTGGCCTTGTGGGAGATTCTTGGCTAGTTCAAGGGCAGGGTGTGCCAAAGTAGGAAGTAGGCTGACAGGCAGGTAGGCCATTCATTGGTTCTGCTCGTGCTGAGTAAAATTATTGGTCAGACTGTTTTCAGCCCTGCTGCTGCCACAGATGATGGATTTTATTTCCTTATGTTGTCAGTGCATTTAATGTATTCATTGACACTGGGATGAATAGAATTTCAAGATAAATAACAAAAAATGCTTCGGAAAAGAATCGCCAACCCTACCTTTAAGGTGGTGAGGAAAAAGAGATGTGTATGAAGAGACAGTGAGAAGACCTTTTTGAGAGAGAAACTTCTAATAATCTGCAACAAGGTGAAGTAAAAGGACCACTGTGGCATTTTTTTGTAAACACAAATCGTGATGACATTCAGTGTTAGTCATTGTCTACTAAGCCTGCATGCGTAGGGGTTGTTGGGGATATTAAATATCATCATGCCGAATGCAGACTTTTGTACTCACTAGTCCCAGTACTCTGCCTTTACGGCACCACTATTTTTTATTTTTAAAGCCATGCACTTGCAAACTATTCTAACTAACTGACACAGCCGTGATCACTAGCTGGATCAGGTCACACTAAGAGGAAGGGATTTTGTTGGAAGCTGTGGTGGTGGATCTGAAGTCATGGGGACTGTGGTATATAGTTAGCTTATAGCCTAACGATAGCCTTTTACTTCTGGTGATTGTATCTGGGCTTCAAAAATCATAAAGGTGGTGTTCATCTGTGAAGGTTATCTTGCTGAACAAAACATGTATCATAAACCTTTGTTTGTCACAGAGCTTTTATTTTTCAAGCAATGATCCAAAAGCCTGTAGAAAAATCCCACAAGCTTTTTGAGGAAGGAACCAGGGTGATGCTAACTTCTGGGCTGGACTACACAAATACCTATGTCATCCCTATGGCACCCTGTAAGTACACAAACCCATACATACCTGTCCATCTGAACAAGTCCACCTACACACTTTCACCATTCACACCATCTCCCCAGCCACTGAGGCACACCCTTCCAACTAACTGCGAGCCACTCAGATGTACAGTCCAACAGAAATAGTCTGGCCTTTTAAAGACTTCCATCCATCACATCACAGGCCAGTGGAATTGAGGAAAGTCATCCTAGTTTTCCTTCAGAACCACCCTGAGGGAGTTGCATAACTGAAGTAGAAAAATCTCTTTCCGTGGTCTCTGACAGATCAAGAAGACAGATGGAGAGAAGAAGAAAAACAGGAACAGAGGGGGAGAGACCGAGGAGGAGCGTAACAACCATTCATTAGCATTACTCAAGCACATCATTAAAGAGACACTGGTTTAAAGACAGAGCCTGCGATAAGTGACAGAAAAATCATCAAAGCAATAAAATACAGAGAAAGCAGTGGACACTGGAGAAGAAGGGGCTACTGTATTTCCCTTTGTTGTTCTTATTCCCAATTCACAGGTTTTAAATAACAAAACCTATCACTGAGGGGTCTACATTTGCTACTTTCTAATCTCTCTGACTAAACAATGACTATTCAATTCTAAATGTGTAATGCTACAGCGAGTAGCATGGATATTATTTGCCTTACTAAATTTACCAGGAAGAATGCAAACTGATAGTTTATACTGATGACTAAATGCAGTGCAGAAGTGCAGTAGTTTCTCTTCAGGTTGACAGTGCAGCACTCACACTGTCCACTGGGAGCACAAGCATCACGGACTCCAAATTTC